CAGTCGCGACGTCGCTCGGACTGCAAAAGCGTGGACCGTAGCTGAGATGGTGGACGTCGATACTGAAAACCGCAAGTAGAATCGGGCATTACAAGTCGGTGATGGCCACTGGTAACAATGATAAACAACTTCTTGTACCTGTTTACACTTAGCCGGCTTACCCCAGCCAACCTTCAAAAGTGTTTTGAGGCCTGCACTTAGTTCTTATCGCAATTACCGTGTCAACGTTTGGTTTACGGGCCGCTGTCGTTTGAACGAGCTGACGACAAAAAGCAGCCAAGTTTGAAAGAGCAGACGACAGTTCGAACGCACGCGCAATGGAGTATACGGGCAAGAAGCACCGCGTCCCACGTCAACAAACCATTGGAATGTCACGTTGTCCGGCGTCTGTGTGAGTCTGCATGCTCTTTTTCGCGTTGGAGTTGTCGATTCTACGTCCTCATCGCAATGTCTTACCACTTGAATCGCCTGAGCGAAATTATCAAGGCTCGTTATGCCGCTAAACTTTCCGTAAATAAATTGACGTGCGGCGATTCATTCGCATGAAGGCTGCAGAATGGACGCCAAAACCATGATGAGATTCTTGTAGCTATTTTCGGTCGCGACGTCGCTCGTGCTGCAAAAGCGTAAAAGGTAGCGGCGATGATCGACGTCGATACTGAAAATCGGAAGCGGGAACAGACCAAGCGTAACAAGTAGGTGATGGCCACCGGTACCAATAATGAACATCTTGTGTCTACTGTTTACACCGAGCCTACTTAAGCCTTTTGAGGCCTGCAATTACTTCTTATCGCAATCACCGGGTCAAAGTTTGGTCAACGGGCCGCTTTTGCTTTAACGAGCAGACGACAAAAAGCAGACAACTTTGAAAGAGCAGACGAAAGTTCGAACGATCAGGCGGCCGTGTGAATTTGAAGACGCACTGAACCCGTGGGTGGTCCGGACGGCTTCGGGGTTTTCTCTCGTTCACGTTGGAACAAAGCAAATACATCTGGCGACCACAAACTGTGGCCCGCACATGCAATCGTAGTTCGACAGCGTCTGGTTTGCCCTTTTCACGGCTACTATCCACGTTCTCGGACGAACGGAGGGCGCAAAAACACATGAAAACTGATCTTCAAACCTTTCCAGACTCTCTTGGTACAGCCCCCGTCGCAGCATTTTGACGAGAAGGCAGGTTTTTTGTCTCGTTTCTTCCAAAGGAACACAGGAATGCATGTCTGGCACGGCGACTTCTGCCCACCGCCCCATACCCGAAGTGCGTCCGGCGCGCCACCACCGCGGCGTGACGTAGGAGAGTTGAGTTGGTGTATACACAGCGCCGCTGATGGTGGCGACACTAATGTCAGCGCCGCGAAACTGTGACTGTGACCAGGGGTTGGCCAGGCGCGCGCGCGGAGAACGCCCGCTCGCAGCGCCGGCGTAGCCTGTCCCTAACACGTGACCTGCGAGAGACCGCGGAAGTTCTCCGCCGACCCACCCCACCTCCCTCCCCTCCTCCAGTCACGCATGTGCGCGCCCGCTGGTTGGGAGCAGACCTATACTGGAACAAGGGGAGCGGATCGGATTCACCGATCACTGTGCGATTCCAGTGCGTTGCGTCTCACTGGATCCGACTGGTTACACCCAGAATCGCGCGGATCGGAACTGCTACAAGTTTAGAACCCCGCGGACCCGAACTGGAACCGCTCCGATCTGACATTTTCGTACGGGTCTAGTCGAGCTGGAGTATCTTTACCCGAAGATGGTGCCCGTGGTAGAGTTGGGCTCTTGTCAATCTTGAGGTACCGAGCCGTGGGACACTGTTCACCTGGACTTTGCAGGTCCTGTCGAGGGTCATGTTTTTCTGGTTGTGTTGAACGCGTTCACCAGTTGGCTGGAAGAGCGCGTGGTCCGCAACATGACGTCTGCCTCCATCATTGAAGAATTACGGACCATTTTTGGGCAACGTTTCGTCTAGCAAGGAAGATTGTGTCGGACAATGGCGCGGCGCTAGTTTCCGAGGAGATGAAAACATTTTACCGAAACAACGGGATCATCGCAGTAACAAGTGCACCGTACCATCCCGGCCGCGACTAATGGCCAGGTGGGGCGCATGGTACAGGAGCTAAAACTTGCACTCGGGAAAAAGGGAAAGGAAGAGCTGAATTGGTGCGCTGGCCAGGTTTTTATTCAAACAGCACACTACCATTCACGCAATTGCAACGGGAAAAACGCCAGCATGGTTGCTTTATGGCAAGGAACTTCCATCAGCTCTGGAACGATTAAAAACTGTATTTTCTGAAGAGCCAGCCATCACGGAAAGCGTCACTATGGCACGGGAACTGAAACTGAGCGTGGGACGGTCAGTCTGGACTAAGAAGTTTCCATACGGCAAAGGCTGGGTTCCTGGCGTAATTGAACGTGAGATGGGCCTCCGTTCATGGATGGTGAACATAGATGAAGGTTCGGTGCGCCGGCATACCAACCACATACGTCAGCGATGGACAACAGCCAACACTCAACAAGAAACGAAGACTCCGTCTCCTGTGTGGGACCTCAAGATTGACTAGAGCCCAACTCCATTACGGGCACCATCTCCCGGTAAAGATAATCCAGCTCGACCAGACGCATCACCCCAGCGAGACAGTAGAAGGCCGGTGGTGCTTCCTCGCGAACCAGCCGCTACGTACATACACCAGTTAACCTAAAAACATCCTAAAAAAAAATTAAAAGGCAGCAATATTTGGACAAAGACAAGTTAAAATAAATAAATAACAAGAAGATGAACATCAACAAGGTACTCGCGCAAAAGCTATGTGAGTGAATCGCGGAGATGGCTTGTCATTCTATGGCAAAAGTCCTTCACTTCGTCAGGTGGGTTCAGGACATTACAATAACTCGATGGGTTCAGGCCCGGTGAAACTACCCTGAATCCGCCTACGGCACTCGAACCTACAGCTATCTCATGTAAATTGAGTGAAGTGTTTCTGCAAGGACACATACCATCACATTCGTCACACGTAACCATAACTTTTTATCTTGTTTTGTTGTTATTCATTTCTTTGATTCTTCTGTGTCAAATAGTGAGGAATTTCCTCTCTATTTTATACTCCCTGATGAACAAAAATTAACGCAAAAGAACAAGCACCGCATACCTTTTGTCCATCTGCCACTCTTGTTGCTTTGCTAGGTTTCTACTGCTTTGCTGCTTATCTCGCGTTTCAATACTGGCTTGTGTGCGTTCATCGAAACGCGAAAACCAGCAGCAAAGCAGAAGCAGTATGCCAAAGCAACGCGCAAACCGGGGAAAAAACAAAATAATCTAGTTTTATTTTGTAGGTTAGGTGGCGCAAGCTACCACCCATCCATCCAAGCACAATGGCGCTACCCTGCAGTTTCAGTTTTGGTTTCGCTGCACCTGTACCGTCGCTAGGCATCCGCTGGGAGAACAGAACTCGCCCAACTCGCCGACGGGAGCGTACGTCGTGCCGGTTACCGGTAGCGCAGCCGGAAGCCGGCGGGCCGCCTGCAAGCCGGCCCGCCGGTCGTCGGCCCGCCGGCCCAAACCGTCCGCCGCCAGCCCGCCGGCCCCAGGCCCCAACCGTCCGCCATCTTTGCATCCCGACTCGCAAGCGCTGAAGCTGGGTGAAGCAGGTGAAGTCCCCAAGTCCAGAGACGGCTGCTGAGGTCTGCGCGGGTGGCGAGGAGCCGTCGGAGCCGTTTGCGTCGTTTCTTCACTTGTCCGCCCTGCCGTTTAAACCGGATGCGCGCGCGTTTTAGAGCGCAGCTCTTAGGGGCCCGTTCCCGGCTTGAGCGGCGTCGCCGTCGGCGTCGGCGTCGGCGTAACCGCAACCCTCGTAACCCTCGTGAGGGTTACGAGGGTTGCGAGGGTTAATCTCATGAGGGTTACCCTCACGAGGATCACGAGGGCCACGAGGGTTACTTACCCTCGTAACCCTCACGAGGGTTACGAGGGTTAGTTACACTCAAAAGGGTTACCTTCACGAGGGTTACCCTCACGAGGGTTACTTACCCTTGTAACCCTCACGAGGGTTACGAGGGTTAGTAACCCTCGTGAGGGTTACAAGGGTAAGTAACCCTCGTGAGGGTTACGAGGGTTAGTAACCCTCGTGAGGGTAACCTTCACGAGGGTTACCCTCACGAGGGTCACGAGGGTTATGAGAGTTACCCTCACGAGGGTTACTCACCCTCGTAACCCTCACGAGGGTTACGAGGGTTAGTTACCCTCACGAGGGTCACGAGGGTTATGAGAGTTACCCTTACGAGGGTCACGAGAGTTACCCTCACGAGGGTCACGAGAGTTGCCCTCACAAGGGTTACTAGGGTTACCCTCACGAGGGTCACGATGGTTACCCAGGTCGTGACCCCCCCTGGGGTCACGTGACCTGGGGATACCCCCGAGGTCACGTGACCCCCCGTTGACGTCATAGGCACTGATGACGTCGTCAGTGACGTCACTGATGACGTCACCGGCATCCGCATCGTCATCGTCATCATCACTGATGACGTCATTAGTGACGTCACTGATGACGTCACCGGCATCCGCATCGTCATCATCATCACTGATTGCGTCATCAGTGACGCTACTGATGACGTCATCGGTATCGTCACGTGGCCCCAGGTCACGTGACCCCCCGACGTCACGTGACGCCCCAAGGTCACGTGACTCCCACAAGGTCACGTGACCCACAAGGTCACGTGACCCCCAAGGTCACGTGACCCCCCGCCCCCCGAGGTCACTTGACCCACCCCCCAGTACCCTTCCCTCCTGCGCTCTAATTCGGCGTTACAGGGAGTTGTAAACGGCTTTCATTTTTTTGTTCGGCGGATCGGCATGCCGAACAAATGTTGCGTTATAGGTGGTATTCGCTGAGGCAGGGGATAAAAAGAATCCAGGGTGCGCTACGGTCGGGCGGCCATTTTGAAGGTGCATTTTTTTAGATTCAGGAGGTTGCGGAACCGCTGAACTGTGGGTCGTTTCATTCGTTTTGGCGGCGATGGTGAACTGTGCAGTATACGGTTGTACTAACCGCACCAAGAGAGCCCCAAATGATGAAAACTTCGTGACTGTAGGATTCTTTGCTATCCCAAAAGTCGTCACTGGTCAGTGTGCGAAGACGGCGGCCCTCAGCGCTGCTAGGAGGGCCGAATGGTTTCGCAGAATTCGGCGCGACGACGTCGACGAGTCTTCGACGCATTATCGGGTGTGCGGTGTGCACTTCATCTCAGGTAATTAAGGGTGACATTCCTATTAATGTTATTGTCATATGTTGTCGAGCCGCACACTTAATTTGTCCTGAAAAACACCTTACAGGACGCCCCACGTACGTCATGGACGACATGAATCCCGACTGGGCTCCGAGCCTTAAGCTCGGGTACGGCGACAGAGCAGCTGACCGAACGGCGTCCGATCGCAGGTATTTTTAGTTGTCGCCAGGCCTTAGTTGCCCGCGCATCAACTGTTTCGTGCGCAAGTGGCCACGCGTTTGTGGCGTAGGTCTGCTCTAATTCAGAGTGTTTGTACTAGAGAACTGCACCGCGGACACGTGCCTTACCGTTGGCAGCCCGTAAATCAAGCTCGCGCCCGCTGGCGGGCGCGAGCTTGAGCGCGCGGGCGCGAGCCTAAACGTTGGCGGGCCCAGCCTTCCCCACCCCTTCACCCCACCCCACCCCCTTTTGGGCCTGGCTTAAAGCCCCTGTCCAGACTCTGATGGGTAACTCATAATTCCGGGCCTGTGCCTAAAAAATCGGCTCGTGCAGTGTTCTAGCCTGTACGATGAAGCTAATCGAGATATCTCCTAATTAACTTCCCGGATCGAGCACCACTCCTAAGCCTCAGTTGCTAAGAGTACAAGCCCATGTAAACACAAAAATGTGTAGTTCCCCAGTGCTTGCTCATTTTTCAATGTCCCCAGTTCATGACTGTGAGATGATTGGCTGGAGTTATACATGCAACAAAAATAGACATTTCCGTTTTGTATTTTAGGTACAAAAGAGCGCAGGCACGAAAATCGGCGCAGACCGCTCGTGGTCAGCCACTTTTGCTCTCTGGCATGGATGCCAGGAAGGAGAGCACACTCATCTCGACCGAGGACCTGGCCCCTGCAAGTCCACTGCTCGTGGAGGCTGCCAAGCCTGCACTGGAGGACTGCTGCTGCACCTCGGGTAGGTCCGGGGGCGATCCCATGGCACCGCATCATTTCTTAAATGGAACTCATCTGTTCAATTATGCCTCTGCAGAAGACCTAGCTGTCGAAGAGGACATGCCGGGCGAAAACGAGGAAACAGAGAGGTCCCCAGATTGTGGCCTTGGATCAGGTTTGTAGCAGTTTCAGGCATGCTTAGGATTGATAGGTTACAGTCACAGGCTTCTAAACTAACAGAAAGAAAGATGAAGTCATATCCAACATACCCTTCTCAAGCTAACATTTTTGTTGACTTAATTTTGCGTAACCTGTAGTGTTGCAAGTATATTTAGCATATGATAGGTTTCTCGCAAGTGTGGTTAACAAGCCTTTGTGCCTTAGTGACACATTCCCTTTGAAAATAAAAAAAACACTGCGATACTGTCCCCATTCTCCAAACCCATCTACTACTACTTCTTGTTCCGATTGCGTTCTTGCCCAACTAGTGCTTTGGTATTCTGAGTGCGCCTTATTGGCTTTCGAAGTTTAGACCATCATCGCCACATATACGGAAACTTTTGGAGGCATATTGTATTCGAAAGCTTTGTAGCCGCACAAATTTTAATATGATTAGGAGTATCTTTTACAGCCTGCAGCAGGGTGTTGAGAAGGTGCAGTTATAACCATACCAATCTCAACAATATTACAGAAATGTATGATTGTGGCCAAACAACAGACATCACCCTGCAATCTATGGCCCTCCTAGAAGATGAAAATCGGCAGCTGATGTCAGATCTGAGAGACGCAAGAGCAAAACTTGCAGCTCATTGCCTGGATGAGGACGCCTTCCAGGAAAACAAGGACATGGTCCCTTTCTACACTGGCCTTCCTAACTTTGCAATTCTGTTAGCCGTTTTTCAGCTCATCCAACGTCGAGTGAGCCACAACGATCGCAATTGCCTGACAAAGTTTCAGGAGATGATTGTATTCCTGATCCGCCTGCGTCTGAACACTCCACTGCAAGACTTGGCGTACAGGTATGGGTGTTTTCAATTATTTTGGTGACTGAAAATAAACCAAAGCACGAAAAGCCCCTCTTATCTTGTCATCTTGGTAACCAAACGATTATGCAGGTTCCAGGTATCGCAGCCCACCATCTCAAGGATAGTCGACAGGTGGCTGGAAGCTGCGTTCACGTCAATGGCCAGTGGGGTTGCTTGGCTTCCGAGAAACGTTTTGCGAGAGACTATGCCAATGGCTTTTCGCGAGACGTTTGGCACACGAGTGGCGGTGGTGCTGGACTGTTTTGAGGTGTTTATAGCTCGGCCATCGTCTCTTCTCACGAGGGCGCTGACATGGTCGAGCTATAAACATCACAATACAGTGAAGTACCTAATCGGTATGGCCCCACAGGGTTTAATTACATTCATATCGAAGGGTTGGGGAGGACGAACAAGTGACAAGTATTTGACAGAGAATTGTGGGGTACTGGACAATCTGCTTCCAGGTGATTCAGTGCTAGCTGACCGGGGCTTTACGATTTCAGGCTCAGTTGGCATGTACTGCGCACGCTTGGAAATTCCTGCCTTCACAAGAGGCCGGCCACAACTGGCACCTTCTGCGGTTGAGGCAACACGAAAGCTAGCAAACGTCCGTATTCATGTTGAAAGAGTAATTGGGCTGGTACGAAGAAAATACACGATCCTGAAGAGCACTATTCCATCAGAGTTACTGGTTGCTCGAGACGGCACAAACACGGGGCTGGACAAGATTGTTCTTGTATGTGCTGCCTTGACTAACCTGTCAGCACCTATTGTACCCTTTGGGTGATGTATACATTACCACTGCCTCATTGGCTGTGCTGTTCAGAGTTGCCTTCATGTAACGTTATACAAACGAATTATACATTCCACATTTAAAAGGCAACTCTGCTCCATTTTTCAATTTTCAGGTTACTAACTGGTTTTGGTACACTCGGCGTCGCTGAATCGCCAAGTATATTTTTTATTTGCGATGAATGAATGAAATAAACAGCTCAACAAATGATTACAAATTGCAAACTCGTCATTCTTTGTCTTGTTTACCAGAGTTAATTTGTAGTGATCATGGCATTAGGAACAACATACTTCAAGCACATAAGGGGCAATCAGTGTCAAATATATTTAGATCTAAATAAACTCACTTCTCACAGCTTACATTTTGAGCGGAACCAGCTGAATATACAATTATCGGAGCATTCATACAAATGAGAGGAGACGGAAAATGTGCATTCCACTGCTCGACTACCAACTGTTTTAATGGTAAACTACTTTTTTTCTTATTACTATTGTTTGTTCTGTTTGTAGCTGAAGAAAAGGAAAAAGAACAAACAAAAGTAGTCGAAGAAAACGAAGTTCATCATTAAAACAGTTGGTAGACCAGCAGTCAAAAGCACATTTTCTATCTCTCCTCTGTAGGAATGCTCTGATAATTGTATGTTCAGCTGATTCAAGTCAAAATTCTTAGTGACTTCAATTATAGGGCATGAAACTTGAGGAGCAGAGCAAACACTTTTAAAAAAGTTCCAAGCTACAAGGGCACACAAAAACATTTCAGCAGGCATGTTAAATCTACTGTTCACAGGAAGTCAACTAAGCACACCTGTTCTTCAATGCACTTGCAGTCATTTTTTGTTCTTGCAGTCCATACAATACCACTTTCGTGCTTTGGGAGCCCTTTTTAGGTTCACACATGCAAAGTGGAACCACTTGTATTCGCACGACACTCCATCACATCGAATCATGTCCCCGGATTCAGGCCCGCTGCAGTGGCAGTATGTGTGTCGGGTTGACTTTCCTCACTTGCTGCAGCTTCTGCAGCCTGTGATGCTGCCTCAGCATGTCTAGTGCTCCAATACTTGTAGATGAGCTCGGGCAGTAGCACAGACTGAAAGTATTTCCCACAGGAAGCGACAATCTCTTTGCAGAGGCGCTCGTCTCTCACAATTCTGAAGTCTTGAACGTCTTTGGATGTCCACACCACAAAGTCACAGTACTCTCTGTTGCAAACCAGCATCTGTGTCTGAATCTGGTAATAGTAGCTGTGGTCCTCTAGCAGCATCATGTCATCCCCTTGTTTGTACAGGCAGGAGTTCTTCTGGCCAGGCATTTCCTTGATGAAGTTGTCCCGGAATGTGTAGGGGCACTTAACTTCCAAAACCCCTGGCCCACAGCATGAGCAGTCGATGAGACCATCAGGTGTTGCACCTAGGAATGGGTGCTTGGACGAAATGTGAAGCCCTGAGCGCCTGCACGAGAAGTCCTCATGTAGTCGCACTGCTTTGGCTTCATACGCTTGGAGGGCTTTCGGTTCGTTGTTCCTTCCCCAGGCCACTGCAGGGGACCAGAACTGCGATTCTATTGGATGGCATATCTTCTTAAGCAGTGACTGTGATGGCTGGCTGACAGATTTCTTGCAGACCGTCCTTGCGTTCGATGCGGTAACCCGGCCTGCACGGAAGGAAAACCACTTGGTCGATCCTGCTTGCTCCGTGGTTTGTTCTTGTATCAGGGCTGCAACCTGGAAGCAATACACAAAATGCATTTATACTTACAGATCAATCGGATCAAATGAAGCTTTTCTGTCAACATAACTGGACAATTCAAAGGTTCAAAGGTGTTTATTGGCTAAAACAACCATAAAACAACCATCACCAACGACAAGCCATGCACTAATGTGAGACATTAAAGGGATGCTGAACCGAAATTTGGATTTCAGAAAACAATGTAGGATCAGTAGGCGGGACGCTACAATCCCTACAAGACCACTCGCAAGGCGATATCGCCAATGGACGGCCGTATTTTTAGAAAAAGAGGTCGCGATTGAACAAGGCCAACGACGCGCGTGACGTCAACATATCTCCTTTCCTCCACTCTCTGCTTTGCCCCCACAAGGCGGTGAGGCGGAGAAGATGTGAGGTTATTTCCTCTCCTTCTCGACTCTTCTCGGAGAAACAAGACGTCAACATACCTGTCAAATGCGCCTCCTTTTTTTTTTTTTTTTAGAAAAATACGGTTATTTGTTTGAGATATTGCTGTATGAGTGATGTTTTGGTATTCGTAGCATCCCATTGCACGCTTCTGCCGAAGTGTTTTGTGGAATCCAGATTTCCGTTTTTACGTAATGATTGTGTGTAGCACCAAGAATATTTTCCTGAGTGGGGAAGCGGGTTTCATGCATAAATTTCTTTAAATTCTGGCAATCAAAGAAGTGCAACATGCAAAATATTCCTTATGTTTAGAAAATGCTAAAATATGGTTCATGTTAATTTTCACCCAAGCGAAAAGATCTGGTAGTAGGAATATTTAATGTGGCTCAGTCAGGGGTGAAAATTTTAAAGGGTGCCCACACTGAAAAAAGTCGCTTGTTTGTAAAAAAAAATATCTGGGAACAGCTACAGTACCTGAGGCTCAACGGCAAGACTGTTGGTGACCTCGGCACACCCCACCACCAGCTCTTCCCATGCAGGCGTCGGATCATGACTTGCGAGGTTTGACAAGATGGCACTGGGAAACTTTGTGGCAAGTGGTACAAATTCATGGGCATATTTTTCGCTGAGAAGCAGAAGTGCAGGGCGACTACCAGCTTGATGGCACCTCTCCAAGAACATCTCCCATTCTTCTTCCGTAACTTTTTCACTGCTCTTCTGAGCAGCCACTGGGGCACGTTCTTCTCCATCCAACCTTCGTTTTTTCATCTCGGAGGACGAAAAGTCCATTTTTGCAATCGGCACGCAGTCGACTACTCGGACATGGGGAGGCAGCCAAGCATTATCTTGGTCCGTGCAGGCTTGATCATTCCGCCTCCTCACCACAGCCTCCATGTAGAACAGGACTGCTCCCACATGAGAGCATGCCTCCCCCAAGCCTGACATGCAGGTACAGTGGGCCACTTGCACCTCGCCATCTGGTTTGACGAGCAGCCAGGGCCTCAGGAGTGCGTCCCTAATGGACTGCGAGTGCCAAACCTGAGACGAACACATTTATAAGTATCAGTTGCGATAGCAGTTGCCGCTCACGAAATAACGTTTATAAAGAATCGCCAACGCGATCTTCCCCTTTACGTTTACTCAGCTTTCAAACGCGCTACTTTGCGACAAGTCACACTTCCCTCAAGAATCAGTACTTCTTAAAAGGCATACTGTTACAAGCGACGACAGCGTCTAACCCCTTACCTTGCCAACAACTACGATGTTGCCGTCTGGGAGCACCTTCACGAGCGGCTCCTGGACCCAACCACTTGTCAAGTAGTTGTGTGCCTCCAGGGACTTGTATGCCTTGAGCTGATCTCTCGTCAAAAAGCTTGTTGAGTGAACAAGGTAGTCCTTAATATCTGTAAACTGTACTCGAGGGAACAGATTTGCATTGAACACCAATTCGTCTTGCGTCAAATCCAGGAGTCGACGCCGTCGCATCGCCGAACTTTGACAAGGTACCGCGCCTTTTCCGGGCCGCTCAGATCGGCCCCGTACTTGCTTAGGCGCATTCTGCGCGAGCCACGGGGACCACGGGATGCTTTCAAACAAACAGAGACAGGTTTTTAAACGGAGGCTCTAAAACAATGAAAGAAAAGCAAGCTACTTCTCGCTCGCGCACGGGTCGTGCTCGCCGCTCAAGCAGGTCCACGAACGATTCGGTGCACCGGCAAAATGGCGCCCGCAGCGCTTGTTGCCAGCACACATGGTGACATTTTTTTGAGTGAATACCACCTATAGGATGTCGCGGCAACTACAAAGACACCCCAAAAGTATATATCTTTAAGTTCCCTCGAGACGGTGACCTGCGGAGAGCATGGTCAAGTGCCATCTCACGGGAGAATCTTGTTGTGTATCAACACACCATGGTAAGAACTTCCCCTTGTTTTGATTTGCCGGGTTTCTCAATGTGCTCAAAGCCCGTTAGTAGCATTTGGTTACGTTCGACAACTTACGTCGAGTACTTGAGATGCGACCATTCGCGCCTGTAGCAATGGCTACGTATCCCGGCGATCGTTTCATTGGCATGCCCTGCAACAAAGTAGCCGCCAAGAAAGTACGCGTGGCAGGGAGGGGATGTGGCCGCGCATTACTGAGTTTGCGGGTCGTATTTCATAGCACGACAGCTTTCTCCTTTCGTTTCATCACGCCAGTTTCACGCTTCGAGCGCACCTCCGAGACTCTCAGCCGAGTACGGTCGCGAGTGTCGAGCCCGGCCGGACGGCGATCAGCGCTCTGACGGCGATCGGTCGGCGGCGACACCTGTGTGCGCACTTGCCGAGACGCCGCCGCTGGGCCATCGGCTTGCGCCGTCCGCGACACAGTAACCTTTGCCAGGAGCAAAAGTATGCCAACGAGCCGGTTAGGAGACAACATAATCTAAACCCTGAGGCGAGGAGAGCCGTCTTGCTCGTTACGTTATTTCTCCTAATCTCGGGGTTTAGATTATGACAGTAACCTTGCGTTGTTTACCAGTACTTTCCAAAATCGCAGCAATTTTACTACCAGCGGCTCCTAGAGCTATAGTCAAACTTCAAGGTGGCTGGGATGTCCATGACTTGGGGTGTAGAATTGGGGAGGGGGTCAAAATTCATCTTTATATTATAGAGTGCTGGATTGTGGGCGGTGGGGGT